TTTCATTAAAAAAAAAAAAAAAAAAGAAAAAAGAACGAAAGAATGAATAATTGGCAGAATGATCGGGAAAAATATTTTCCCTTATCTAATTTCAACTGTATAAAAAGCGGGTCCTTCACTTCTCACGAGGCTAACTTTGATTACACGCTCTCTTTCTCTTTCTTTCTCTCTCTCTCTCTCTCTTGCCGAACGAATCACGAGAGTGGCAAACATCAAGTTACTTTCCTCCACCATTGCTTATTTAACACAGGATCTGCTCTTTTCGCCGAGTTACCAATATCAACAGGCTCCAAGTCGCCGAGTAATCGAAACAACATTTTAACTTTTCGATCGCTCGAATGTTGATTCTCCGTCGTAACTCGGACGTTTATCTCGCAATGCTTGATCCTAATCGTAAAACGAACGAGAAGAGCAATGACGTTCGCGACGATATTTTTATTGTTTGACGATAAGAGGGGAAAAGAATCAAGTGGCGGTGAAAAAAAAAAAAAAAGAGGTTTGGAAAAGCGGAGCAGAGACTTTGGGTGAATTTTATTGGCGGGGCCGGATTTAGGGGGAGCGTGCGTGGACGGAGATGCAAATTTGGCCGGGTTGCCCTTTAGCGTTTTATCGAATCAACGTTCGGCCGATTAGGCGGACAACGATTTTTAACGGGTCATCGCACAATGGCCTTTTGTGCGCTGTCAAAGCCCAGTCTCTCGGGGAGGGGCCCGGCCTCGCGAAAATGCGACCCGGACAAAAGTGGCATTGCCTCACGGCGCTCTTTCTCCACACGGCTTTTTCGATAAAATGGCCCATTGTTGCGTTTCCATCTTTCTTTTTTCCCCTCTGCTTTCTCCTTACCTCTCTCTCTCTCTCTCTCGCTATTTTATTTTTTTTTCCCCTCTCTTTTGGCTATTCTTCTCCTTCTCGTTTTAACTCGCTTCTCGCTCGCAACATCGATTCCCAGCCACTGCTCGCGAAATTTGGTTTTATCGCCTTTTATTTAGCGAGTATTTGTACGAGCTTTGGAAATGAAATTCCTTTTCAACTTTTTTTTCTCTCTTCCTTCCTTCCTTCCTTCCTTCGTTCTTGGCGTGCCTCCCAGTGATTCCCGGTGGATAATG